ATCTCGCGAATTCTTATATGTTCTATCTTATATTCTTATCTACTATTAGTTTATCCACGACATAAAAAGATCATATATAATGTCATACATATAAAAATTTATAATATATAAAATATATAACATATAATATACAGGATGTCCCACTCAAAGTGGCCACCCCATTTAATTTTTTGAATTAAAAGAGATAGACCATAACAAATATATATGTCAAATTAAATGGTTCAAACTGAACTCTATTGTGAGCATAGTATTTGCTTATAAAAGCTATCTGTGCTAATGAACGAAGAAATATGCATAATTTTTTTATAACAATGTGGATATTTCGACACAATAAAAGTTGTAGCGCTGTTTAAAACGAATACGACTACCTTTTTATTTTCGGCCCTGCGATATAGCTAGCTTCTGACTCGTTAGATTGACATATATCATTTTGTCATATGATCATAATATTCGAGATAGAAGTTGGCCATATTGCAGGGCCGAAAATGAAAAGGTAGACGTCGCCCGCAATATTTTAAGCCGATAAAACTTGTATAATATGTGAAATATTTATATTAAGTCATACATATCGTTGTATTTATTTCAAACAGCGCTACATCTTTTATTGTCTCGAAATATCCACATCGTTATAAAAAAATTATGCATATCTCTCCGTTTGTTAACACAGATATAGCTTTTATAAGTAATATACTATACTCACAACAGATTTCAGTTTGAAACATTCAATTTGATATACATATATTTGTTATGGTATATATATGTTATGATATACAATTTGTTATATATATTTGTTATTATATTTGTATATGGTCTATCTCTTTTAGTTTAAAAGATAAAAGGAGTTGGCCACTTTTGGTGGGATACCCTGTAAATTTAATGATAACAGGTTTGTACGCAGAATAAAATAGCACAATGCCAAAAATTAAAAAATTTAAAGAGTTGTCACGCAGACAACAAAATCGCCGTTTATTACTAGCTGCACAAAATGACAATATTTCCATTAGCCTTCCAGAAAGGCTTGTTACTAACAAGCAAGCTTCTTCTTACATAGAATGCTCTCTCGAAAATCAAAATTGCAGTACAATACAACTGTTTCCTGAAGTAGAAATACAAAATATACAATCAGATGATATGGAGTCAGATAATAATATAGAAGATTCTAATTTATTATATAATAATAGAGACGAACGAAAAGGCACTTTACATGAACAGTTACATACCTGGGCTATTAAATATAATATTACTCAAAAATCTCTGACAGCTTTATTGTGTATTCTACAGAAAGAAGGTCACAATGATTTGCCCAGTGATGCTCGAACCTTGTTAGGAACACCCAAAAATACAATTATTCGAGAGTGTGGAGCTGGCCATTACTTTTATTATGGTCTGGAAAAGGCATTACGAGAAAAATTGAAATCTTATAAAAATATCAATAATAATATAATAGAAATTAATATTAATATCGACGGCCTACCTCTTACTAAAAGTTCCCAAAGCCAGTTATGGCCTATACTTGGTCAAATTTATAATATTCATGTCACGGAACCCTTTTTGATTGCTGCTTTTCACGGTTATAAAAAACCTACGCATGCACAAGATTTGTTAGAAGAATTTTGTGATGAATATCGCATCCTTCACGAGGAAGGATTTTTATTTGAAAATAAAAATTACCGTGTAACAATCAGAGCAATTATTTGTGATACTCCTGCCAAATCCTTTGTAACTGGCTCAAAAGGGCATAATGCATATTTTGGCTGTGGCAAATGTTTTTGCGAGGGTGATTATATTAATCACAAAATGGTTTTCTTGGATGAAAATGCCTCGTTGAGGACGGACAGCAATTTCCGCACTCGAGAAAATGAAGAACATCACATTTGCATTTCGCCTTTTGAAAACTTGGCTGTGGATATGATAAATAATTTTCCGTTAGATTATATGCATCTAATTTGCTTAGGAGTAATGAAAAAGATGCTGAATTTATGGGTCAAGGGACATCAAATGTCACGGTTACGTGCAGCACAAATACAAGAATTATCAAGAGATATAATAGAATTACGTGAATACATACCCATTGAATTTGCACGTCGCCCACGGGGTATTAATGAATTAGACCGTTGGAAAGCCACAGAATATAGAATATTTCTTTTATATTTAGGACCTATTATTTTAGACAAATATCTGAATGCGGATTATTTCCAACATTTTTGCGTTTTACATACTGCTATACGGATTTTATGCCACCCAGAAGATTGTTTTCGTAATAATTTATACGCAAATCAATTACTGCTTTATTTTGTCAAAATGTTTAAAATATTATATGGCAATGATAATTTAGTTTATAATATACATAATTTAATACATCTCAGTGAAGATGTAAAAAGATATGGCTCGCTTGATACGCTTGATGCGTTCCCATTTGAAAATTATCTAAAAAAGTTAAAACAAATGTTACGAAAATCAGAAAAACCATTATCTCAATTAAATAATAGGATTAATGAAAATGCAAGATTTGCAACTAATTCTCAAAATATTATTTCAAATGCACCATTGCTTTTAAAACCAAACATAAAACACTTACCTTTAGGATGTGTAAATTCGCACAAGCAGATCAAATTTAAAAATTGTATGCTAACGACAAAATCCGCAAATAATTGCTGCTACTTGAAAGATGGATCTGTTTTTTGTATTGAATATATTGGTTTCAAAGATGAATACCCTGTTATCTTGGGAAAAAAATGTATTGATCTTAGACCCATACCAGGATATCCATGTAATTCTCAAGATATGCAAATACATATAGCAAGCAAAGGAATGCATTTAGAAATAATTCCTGTGAAAGAAATAGATAAAAAAGCTTTAAAAATATCTTTCAATAATGTTTATTATACATTCCCTCTTTTACATTTATAACAGTGAGTATTGAACATTTTATGTTATCATGCTTACTTTGTACAAAGAAACATTCAACGGGTGGAATCAATATTTAATCCATATTATATAATCAGTATTTAATTTAGTATTATTTCAGATGTACTATGTTATATTTTGTGACGATTGGTGTTCGACAGTACCAAAACTTTGGGTGGATTTAAAAAATAAGACTTTTTATTGGCCACCTAAAGAAATTAATACTACAGGAGCCATAATAAAAAATATCGGTCCCAGTGATAACTGGAATATGGAGGTTTACCGGCGCATTATAGGACCATATAGTAATTATCAATTTACTATCGTATAATATATAATATAATATATTATGGCATATTATAATAATATGTTATATTACAATAAAATATATTTTTTGTGTATGCGTTTTTTATGTGAGAATATGTATCA